GGGTGTTCATCTAAACTGTCCTTAAAGGTACTTGTTGAAGGAGATCCCAAATGTCCACTAGGTAATGTAGTACAATTACAACTACTGTATTACTTACGTTTTCTTGAACTGAATTCTGTGGCAGGAATGTGACATTTTTAGGATGCTTCTTCAAGATTTGTGAAAATCCTGCAAACTGATGAAAACAGTGTGGCAGCTGCTCATGTTTAAGCTATTCACACAGCTCTTGTGTCCTGATCCCATTGCAGAGGAGCATCTTTAACTCCCTCTGTGTATGCTGACCCTGTGATTTATGCACTGAATTTGACACAAATTTGACAGGAAGAGCAGTATGCTTAGTGTGTGTGCTCAGATAATCTGTTTGGGGTGTACTGAATCTATTGCTTGTATTCTGGCTAATATGTGCACGGACTGTAAAACACAGCTCTAATTTCTTGGAAATATTACTTGTTTTCAATATTTTTTTTAGTAATTTGTGATCAGTTCACTAATGAACTGTAGAGATGTAACATCTGCTATGTGTAAAGTTATAAACAACAATTATAAAATACTGCCAAGTTCTAGGACTGAAATTAGTGTGGTTTTTATGCAGAATATAGTAAGTGCTTTCCTGTGCTCCAAATCTTTGTATTCATTTACATTCAGTTGTTTCATTAAGGTGGAGAGAGGTGGTACCTTCATATTCTTGGTAATTTTTGTTGCTGTTGGCATGAATGTTTTCTTGAACACGTGGAAGATAATTTTGTGAGAATCTGAAATATTCTTACAGAATTTTGAAGAGACATTATTTGCTCTCATAAATTGGAAACTACAATAATCTTTTCTTGTTTTCCTGTTTGACAGGGCCACCCAGCCAGTGGTGGCTTTCCCTGCTGGATTCATCATGATAACTCCAGCCTTTGAACTGACCCAGGATCCGGATTTTCTCACAATAATAATCAAAGTACCTTATGCCAGAGCTTCAGAGTTTGATGTGTATTTTGAAGGGGAAGATTTTAAATTTTATGCTAAGCCCTACTTTCTTAGGCAAGTAGTGGGAGGGTTTAAAAAAACCCATTGAACTTCATAAAATAGATAAAAGTCAGTAGAGAATGAACTTCATTTTGGTCCCTTCAGAACATTCCTCATCTGCAGCTTTTATGCTGTCAACTCCAGACAAGCTATTTTGTGGAAATAATTGTTTTTATTGATCTGGCCTCTTTTTTTCTAGACATTAAATCACGTTAATGGGAATTTAAAGAAATACTTTTCTAAATTTACTTTGCAATAGATTTTTAATTGTAAAATGGCAAGACAATTCTGGATGTGTGTAAACCCTGTTGAATAAGTGTGTCTTAGGCAATCGTGGTATGAAAGTGTTGGGAGAACCTTGGGCATTTAAGAGCTGATGAGCTTTTAAGCTTTCTTATTTTCTGTTTCCTGTGTTCTTGGACATGCTTCCACTATATACATTAGTGGACCACAAGGGATTTTATTGGCCTGGTAGAATGTAGTGACTGACTTACTCTGAGTAAGCAATACAACTCTGGGTGAGTTCTCATATCCTGCCACTGTGGGTTAGCTTTTTTTTTTAAGTTATAAGTTGCAGAATCTTCCAGGTGTCTCACACAGCACCAAGGGCATCATCTTTTTGGTGGCTGTGACCTCTTCCATGCTGGGAAACCAGAGGTCACAGGTTTGCTCTATCTTGGATGCTGATCTCTTGTGCCAGTAGTTGGGGGAAAAAGATCTTGAAGTGCATGGGGATTTAACTGCATGACTTCCATGACTCCAAAAGGAGTCATGTAGTTAAGTCCTTTGTGCTGCTTTTGGAATGTGTCTTACATTTTTTGAGAGTGAGATGTTAAGTTGTGGAATTAGTCAGGCTTTCAATGAGCATCTCATTTTTTTGCCCACAGATTGACACTTCCTGGAAGAATTGTAGAAGATGGCAGAGAAAAAGCATCTTATGATACAGACAAAGGTATTAATCAATCTTATTAATATGTCTCATTAAAAATGCTACTAACTCTCCAATAATTTATACTTTGCTGCATTGGAGTTGCATAGACCTTTAGTGAATATATGACACTGTAAATAAATGTAGAATTTCTACTGTCTTATATAGTATAACAAAGAAATCATGCTCAGGATTTATTTTATGTACTTAGTCCATCCTTAAGCACAAAGAGCATGTGCAGAACTGTCCTAATAACAAAAAAAGATTCTGTACAAATCCTCCTAAAGCCCTGTGGGGCTTTAGAAATGTTACAGTACCAGGATCATTAGTCTAGTAAATCTGCAAAGAAGTCAGGTAGTGCTGAGTAGAAATGAGATAATCCTGAGACAGTCTCTTGGCTGTGTCTTCAGGGACAGGACATTAGCCTTTCTTCACACCTTAAGGTGGAAGGTACTTCTGAAATAAAATCTGTACCTTCTAGAGTGAATATATTAATTTAAAAAAAAAAATAGGCAATAAAACCTATAATTTGCTGCTTTCAAAGCCTTTGTTATGTGCTTGGCTTAAGACAAGCAGATTGCTGAATGTGGATTCCTGTGATGATCTGTTGCTTGCTCTATTGGTGGAAGGATTAAAAATAAACTAAAGCTTGTATTCTGTTGGCTTGTGTTCATACACTGGAAGTCAAGAGACCACAACTGGTTAAATATTCTTTCATGCTTTATCATTAAAATCCTTCATTTTTGTAAAACTCATCAGATAAGGTTAAAAACGTGCACAGGGATCGATGCATGATAAAGTGGTACCTGCAGGTGTCCAGGTTTCTCTGAGCCTTTCTCATAAGAGGAAGAAAAAACTTCTTAAATAATCTTAGATATTTTAATGCAACAACTGTATCCTGATTTTTCCTTTAAGGAACTTTTACAATTCGCTTGCCTAAGGAGATTCCTGGCCAGTATTTTGAGGGACTGGACATGCTGACATCTCTTTTAGCACCCAAGAAATCAAGATCAGCAAAACCTTTAGTAGAAGAGATAGGTATGACAACAAAATCTTGTTTCTACAAGTACATAATGATAAAGTTTACATAGTTGTATCTATAGAGAAATGCAGTTTTTCAGTTGTCTAGTCCAAGGTATGAGAAGAGTGAATTAATTGAAGTATGGCTAAGTATAGAATTAAGTGTGTTAAATGTAGGTGATGCAAGTGTCATCTTTATAAGTTTAGTCATGTTTACATTTCTCAAAATGTGCTTAACATTTGCTAATCCTCTGTAGATCTTTGTGCCCCTCTAGTGGCTATATCATACACACACGTTTGAGTCTTAACTGGACTTGTAGCTCAAATGGTAGAAGCTACTTAAAACCACAGATCCTAGTGGATTACTTGCTTAACATCAGTATTTAACAGGCAAGAATGTTTGACTATCTGTGTTTAATTTTTTAATACTTATCTTAAATTATTGATAACATCACTTGGCTCTGGTCAGGATTCTCTTGGCATCAAATTCTGATCTTGTTGAAATAAATGGAACAGTGGTTTCAGTCTTTGAGGGTGTGTGCTTAAAAACTTGTTTCCTATCTTCATTTTTGAAAATTGGAGAATTTGGAGCATGGCCTATAGATTTGTGATGTCAGCATCTGCCTGCATGACCCAGTGATGTGTAGGATTGCTGAAAAGATGTAGTAAAATGAGAAAGGCTTATTGTATTATCAGTGTTTGCTTATCTGTTAAACCCTGTGGATTTTCTGTGTAGTAATTTTCTTTCTCCAAGCAAACACTGATAATACAATAAGCCTATCTATTAAACCCTGTGTATTTTCTGTGTAGTAATTTTCTTTCTCTGACCATGCAATACATACAGCTGCCTCTGCTGAGTTGTCTGAGGAGGATGAAGAAGAGTTTGACTGGGAAATAGAGCAGACTCCTTACAGAGAAGGTCCAGAAAACACTCTGACACCACAGCACCCCTACGGCTTTGGGAACTTGCGCTCGGGGGTGTTCCAGCGCCTGCAGGTGGGTCAAGATTTTGTCTTTTCCTGCCATAAAAGTGCCCATAAAAGTGCTGGGAACTTTCTTGATGGGTAGGCTTCGTGGCACATTCTGTAGCAACTGTTCTCTGTTATTCCCTTATGATTAGTGTGTTGTTCTTGTGCATGTAGTAGTACAGACGAACCCTTGTTCCTGCAGAAGTAGGGGGTGGTTGAGACTGAGTTAATTGTGTAGCAGAGTCAACATGCTGATCTGTCCCTGCAGTAATCTCAGTGTTGGAGGCAAGGGTGAACAGGGTCCTTGGTAAGGATAGCCTCTGGAAGTGGGCCTGGCCAGCTGCCTGTGAAGGCCTGGAGAAAAAGGCCTGTGTGGAGTAGGCCACATGCCAGGTGAATCCTTCTGGGAAGCTGCAAACAGTCTGCAGGCTGTTAAGAGTCTGCTGTTAACACTCTGGCTTTATATTTGATATTCTCTTCTGTTCTGACTTCAGTCATGTACCATCAATGTACAGTCTATTTCAGATGCCACAAATTTTAATTTATTTTTAAATTAGAAAGAAGTCACTCAGTTAAAACACAAAGCTGACTGTAGGTCCTCTTATGGTTATTTTTTTTTGAATCCTTCTGGGAAGCTGCAAACAGTCTGCAGGCTGTTAAGAGTCTGCTGTTAACACTCTGGCTTTATATTTGATATTCTCTTCTGTTCTGACTTCAGTCATGTACCATCAATGTACAGTCTATTTCAGATGCCACAAATTTATTTTTAAATTAAAAAGAAGTCACTCAGTTAAAACACAAAGCTGACTGTAGGTCCTGTTATGGTTGTTACGTTAATTTTTTTTTCCATTGTGAAATTCAGGGTGATTTTCTTTGTACTTTTTATTTTAGACTTGATTTTCTCACGAGATAGTAACTGGTGTAGAGGCAGTCTTCAAGGTGTCTGCCCACCTGGTGTCTGTGGGACTTACAGGAGTTATGCTGGTGCACTGAAATTAGCTTTTCTGGCTTAATTGATAGGGTAGGAGCTTTAAAATGCAGCAACTTTGCTGTTGTGCACTCAGCAGTTTCTTTAATTCACAAGTAGGTGGAAGCTAATCTGCAACCTGTAGCATGCTATATTGTACAATAATATCTATAGTACACAGAGCTTTTATTAAAACAGTCAATGATAAGTTTTTTGGTAGTGCTCTCACTCCAAGCATTTTTAGTTGTAGCTATTTAAAGCAACTTAATTATGTAATTTGAACTCATTGCGAGACTTGGGTTATTTTCAAGGTGTGGAGCAGAAGGATGGGTATCTGTGGAGAAAGGATTTATGTTAGGATATATACACTGGTTTATTACCACGAAATTTGGGAAAAAGTGCATTTCCCATCAGCATTGATGTACCACTACCTGATGCTTAAAAGGGCACTGCAATCACCTGTAATTTTTGTATGGCCACTTCAGAGTGTGAGAGTAAAGCTCAGATTGGCCAGAACAGACTCTGTGGGTTTTATCTTGCCTTTATTGTGCTTGTGTGCTTCTAATTATGGCAAATTTTATTGTAACACAACATGACCTGCCTGCCATATGAGAAAACGGCCTGAACAGACTTCGAAGTGTCATGAGTTCTGAGGAGCTTCAATTAATTTCATTTCCTTGGAATTCTGATGTTTTATTTGCACAACTGAGCCTGAATTTAGAAGATTTGAAAAGGAAGTTGAAGAGCAAGTAGGAATTTCAGTGTAAAGCCAATAAGCACCCTTCCTAAACCCCTACTAAGTAAATCTTGTGTATGATACCTGTGCCTTGGTCATGCAGTTTTTGTTTCATTTGCAGGATGAGCTCAGTGACGTGATTGATGTGAAGGACCCAGACCAAACTCCTGCAGATGAGCGCAGGAGGAGACGCCTGGCAGCTGAGGCTGCCAAGTTTGACCCTGATCATTACCTGTGAGCATCCACTTGCTTCACCTCATCAAGTGAAAGTACCTCAGTTGAAATGGTCCCTTTTTCTTTTCACAAATGGTTGGGTTTGAGATTGCTTTTGGAAATAATAGCTTTACTTTTTAATTGTCTGTTTCTTTGTCTCATCACAGCAGGGCTTAGAGGCTCTTCCTAAGTATGACACCAGCACAAGACATTGCTTCTTTGTTTTGGGGTTACTCTGCTGTTTAATTACTGCTTAAGTTGTATGTAAACTGGGGCTGCTGTGAACTGTTGCAGAATGTTGTTGGAGATCATTCACCTCTTCAGCAGCAGAGTAGACAATCCATGCAAGCCTTTGGGTTGTGGATGAACTTTATGAAACAACCATCCTGGTGTGAGGAAGATCCATGCAAGCCTTTGGGTTGTGGATGTCAGAACTTTATGAAACAAAGAACCATCCTGGTGTGAGGAAATATATTTGAGTTTGGAAATTAGGAAGATTTTTGTCTAGGCTACTTTGGTTATTGCTTTCTTCATATGAAGCCTTTTTTACAGAAGGATGGGGAAAAGTTCCATACCAAGGCTTTGTGTTTCTTTGTGCTTAAGTCTTTGTGATGAAGGTGGAAATGGTTCTTGGTGCCTTTCAACTTGGAGTATTTCAGGCCAAGTTAGGTTCAGAAGCTTCCAGATGAGTAACCTAAATTGAAGCCAATATCTGTTAATACAGCGGTTCCTGCAGGAGGGGTTTAGGAGGAGGTGAGTGCAGCCCCCAGCAGGGAGGCTGAACCCTTCTTGAGTTGTTTGAGGAAGTATCTTTGCAGACTTGGAGTTTTTCCCCAGTCAGGTGTTTCAGAGGCAGCTTCATATCTTTCTGTAGCACGTGGGAATTAGAAAAGCTTTCTTGAAACATCACTTGGAAGTGCTTTTTAGTAGAGCTGAAGTAGTTCTTAACCTATAATGTGATGCAAATTACAGTAAGTTTCCACATCTTAGACCTTGGGTTTTAGCCTAGTAGATGAGCTACAACTAATGACTCTTTTGGGTGGTTCCAAGCAGATGATACCCACTTTTCAATAAAAATGGCTTTCCTGCGTACCCTGGAGAAAAGGACAGCTCTGGGAGAAAGGGTAGCAAACAAGGGGTCTGTTGCCTTTGAGGAAAATGTACTGTGGCTGGTATCTTTAAGTTACTTTATAAAGATGCTGAAGGAAGGCATCAAAAAAATCTGTTGGAGTGAGAGTAAAGCAACTTACTCTGTGTTCAGCAGACTGGGCAGGTCCGTGTGCATGATGTGTAAGAAATTGCCTGCATTCTTTTCAGTTCTCAGTATTTACACTATTGTTTAGCTTGAAGAAAAAGCCAAAGAGAGGCCTTTGAATTGTGGAGGGGAAAAAAAAAAACCTTTGCACCCCAGCATTCTGAGGTTTTGACCACAGTGGCTGTGCTGAGATGGAGTTAATCTCTCCCAGAATTAATGTATAACTCTTCTTTGTCTAATTTCCTACAGCATGCTTTGGTTGACCTAAAAGTCAGTCCCTGTCCCTACCTTATCTTTGCCCTTCAGCTGCATACCCTTCTTCTCCAAAGCATATGCAGTTTTAAAGTGGGAGAGCTTCTCAGTAAAATCAAATTTGCTACCACTGACATTTTCTGCTTCTTTTTGGGCTGTCTTCCTTTAGATTCAGCCAGAACAAATCAGGTTTGTTTGTCTGCACATCATGCTGCAAGCTCACAGATTTTCTAGCCTTCCAGGTGGCTCAGGAAAGGTGGAGGAAGTATGGAATGGGTATTGTAAGATGAGAGAATATTGTTCATATTTTTAATAATGGTTATTAATAGTGGTTTTAAGTCAAAGAATAGGTACTGATCAGGTTTGTATTATTTTTAGTGTATGGAAGTCAAGTGTATCCTATGTATGCATTGAAATATACCCATGTAACACTATAAACTGAAATAAATAGCTTATGGCTTTTCCTTTTTTTTTTTTTTTTCCTTGAGCTGATTTTTTTTAAGATGAAGCTGTTCAGCATGTGTTAAAGTACAGACCATGGTGGGTTGATGCTCACAAAAAAATGGTAGACCTGCAGGGAGAAAGTCATCAGGAACGTGCCACTCAGACAGCTGGTGAGAACATTATATATATATATACACACACACACACATATATATACCTGTTGCTTGAATGGGAGTTGCTCTGATGCTGCATTATACTCCAGGTTACTGTTCTTAAAGGAAAGAAGTATGTTTACCCTACAGTTTTCAGTCTTAACTGCTCTTAGGGGAGTGTTCTGTTACTTATGTCCTTGAATATTTTTTTTTTCCTCTGATGGACAGTTACATACTGGAATCTTTGAGCCAGTTCTGTATGGAGCAGTTGATAGTATATTATAAAGTGGTAATTTAATCTTAAGTTTTTATCTGTTAGTTAAATAGTGCAGTGCATATTTGGGTTTTTTTTTTGCCTGCATAACGGATTTTGGAGTTAACTGTTCATAAAGGCTGTTCTAGAACTTAAGGTGTCTATGAAGAAAAAGTTCCCTTTTAAAAGTGTGCTGTAATCTTTCAAGATGTCAAAGGAGCTGCCAGTGTCAGTAAGTCAAGGCATCTGAAATCCAGTCAAACCTATCTTTGTATAGTGATTGTAATGGCCAGAAAACAGGTTCTTTGCTGGGGCTTGTCTCCTCTGGTTTTCAGTCTTTTCAAGTAACTATTCTGCCTTTCCTGGCTGTATTTAAAAAATATTCCAAACTGGGGCTTGTTCCCACTTCCAAATACAGTGCAAAAACTTCACAGCAAATTTGCCATGAAGCAGCTGTGGAGGACTGCTAAGATCTGCTCTTCTCTCTGTTTGAGGAGCACTTTTTCTGTAGGATGCTTTATTTATACAGCATGACAGAATTTCATGGCATTTTTTACTCTACTGCTATTTTTATGGATCTCAAACTTTTTTTCAAAGGAAAATGTTTGTGTCCCTTTAGAAACTAAAGGAGATGGTTTTGGGTTTAGTGGATGACCTTGTAGCAGTGCTGTTAACAGGTAGCTGAGGTGACCTTTCTGTACACAGTGATTGCAGAGAGCATTACAAGTGACTCCTGTGCATATTCTTTCACTGTCCTTTGTTCATTTCTCATGCAGCATGAAAATCCAGTATTACTGAAGTAGATGATAATCATCCCTTCACCAGAGGTTCTTAACAAATATTAGTGCACTAATAATGCCTGCACTTTGCCATTTGCTTCAGAACAACAATGGAATTTGGGTAGATGTGTGTTTTCTGGTGGCTGTAATCTGATCTTCATTACTAGCCTCTTGTCAGCCTCTGAAGCCAGAAATTGTTAATTATATTCATCATAAAGCATTGCACAAAGGTACAAGAGGCTCAAAAATAGAATAATGAGGGGTTCTTTTGTTTGGTTTTATCCATTCACTCCTTAGTAAGTGAAACACAGCTCTTTGCCTGTGTTAAGGAATATAATGAAAAAGAAGAGCTGTTGCTCAGGATTTTATTGATAAAATTATTATTTCACTACTTGAAAGCCTGGTAAGCCTGCTAATGAAAGTTAGGCAGAAAATGGGGCTACAGAAAGGATCCTTTTTTCTCTCAATCATTTGTTCTAACAGATACATCTTTAATAAGGTTGATCAGAACAATTTAGTACGGCTGAGTGGAGAGGCTCCTGTATCTCTGTGGATCTTGAGGAAATGTGAGTGCTGCCAGAGGCCACCTGGTGTCTGGGTTATGGTAATGACAGCAGCCCGCCCTTCCCCTTAGGGAGGCCTCGGGTTTGAGAACCACCACACATTGTTACTGCTCTTGGAGTGGCAACAGCGGCTCGGGGTGGTGAGAATCTGAAACGGGGAGGTGCCTAAACCTGGGTGAGTTGTGGTGAAAAAAACCACCATGAGAGGGAGTACAGGCTCCACTTGAAGTTCTCTTATGAAGGGAAATAGGAAGGGCAGGAGGTGAGTCCACGCTGTTGGACCTGGAATCCCATCATAAACAGGATGAGTTCAATGTGGCTTTATATTCTTCTTATGCTTTATCCAGGCAAAGGGATGGGCCAGCTAATCTTGAGTTTCAGCTTCAGGAATTCTTAAAAGCTTAATGTGATTTGACTGCCTGTGTGTGTTGGTGTGTGTGCCAGTGTGGACGCTGAGTAAGGAGAAGTGACATAGCAAAGGCATGTCAAAAACCAGGGGCTCTACTAGGTGAAGGACCTTCTTTACTACTTTAGAAATTATTTCCACTGGAGCTGGGGTGAAGTCTGACTGTGTGGAGCCAGGGTGTGCTCTACAGCTGGAAGGACAAGGAGTCTGTCACTGGTATTAGAATATGCTTGTAGTAAGAAGCCTTTGAATGCTGATTCCTGGCTAGAAAACCTGGAGAGTACTTGAGCACAGAGGCTCTAAAGGGTGCAAGCCTTGTACATGTTGTGGTAAGTTTCAGTGTGCTCTATGAAGTGATTTCCCTTATCTTCCATGATGAGGACTTCCAAGACTACAGCACATAAAGAGACTTCAAATACTGGGCTGTTCAGAACATGTACAACTCATGATAGGTCTCCTGCCCAGGCCAGCTTGCAGAAACTTCTGTCTGTCCTGTGTGGAGGGAGGTTATGTCTTTGATCAAACATGTGCTGTCCAAATTGGTTACACAGGGAGGTGGAAGCTGAGAGAGCTGGTGGAGGGCACGTGCTGTCAGATGTGCAGCTCTCATGCTGGGGAAGCCTGCTGCCCTCAGGCAGGGAATGGTGCATCTTCCCAGAGGGTCCTTTACTGAAGTTAAATTACTGTTGGTAAGCTGAGAAGGTGGGAATGGGACTGTTAAAACTGGTGCTATGTGACAGCACAGCATACCACAGTACTGGGGTATTGGCACTAGAATCTGACACCTGGTACCTTTAGAGTCCCTGTGTTTGGTGCTCTGTTACTGCTGCCTTCAGGACAGTCCCACCTACACAGTGTTTGTGGAATCAGAGTCAGTGGGATCTGACTCTTCAAGTTACTATGTGGAAAATTGAGTTTAGTGTGGAAAAGTGACATAAAAATTAGCAGATTCTTTAAAACTGTGGGGTTTTTATTCAGAAGCACTGAACTAAGAGGATGACTTTTTTGTTTCTTTTGCTAATTTACATTACTGTCCTTTATTTTTTTTTTTCCTTCCTTGGTTTCTTGGAACCAAATAGTTGATTAGTTTTGTCTTTGTATAATATCTTGATTTATGAGTAATCAGAAATACAGTAGCTTCTTTTTTTTTTCATGGCCTTACAATTAAATGAAGATTTTATTTGGTTGATTACTGCTGTTACTTTCATCCCTGGCTATTCTCTCTTTTGTTTTTACATCGAGTTTTTTTTTTAAGGTCTCATTACCATTTTTTTTCTTTGTGGATCAGCTCTTCTCATTAGCATTTAAATTCTTTGGCTCTCATCTGTCCTTACCTTGAATCTATTTTTATTTAACCTTTTGATTTTTTCTCCATCTTGTGTACATGGTGTGTGTATTTTGTCTTTTTTTTTAATTTCTTCTTCTGTTGTCCCAATTACCTCTTCTTTCTTTTGTCCTTTATTGCATTTTACTCTGTATTGTCTCTTCTTGCCCTTTGTGGGTTTTTTTGTTTATTTTCCCTGTAGGCTTCTTAACCTCCAGGCAGGGAAGGTTTTTTGCAGCAGATATTTTCTAAGGCTGAAAGGACCAGATTTTGTTCTTACAGCATCTAATGCAAGTCAAGTAATACTCCATAAAGCCTAACTAATTACCCAGCCTTTCCCATGAGGGAATAAAACTTTTGGAAAGCTTGCTTGCTGCTGAAGTTTACATTAGAGTCTTGCTTCTACAGATTCCAGATGAAATATTTTTGTATTTTGTAAGTCACATATTTTATAAGTTCTATTTTATTCTACTTCAAATTGCAGAACTGTGAAAAATCCTTTTTAGGCAACATAATAATCTTCAAAGGTTCAGGCTGACACAAGTATTTAATATAACATTTATATGCTCCAGGGTTTACCATAACCTATAGTGCTTACCAGTGAGTATTCTCTTTCTGATCTCTTTATAGAATGAGAGGCAATTTCTTTTTCAAGACTCATCTTTTAATAGGGCTCTGCTCAAATACAGACCATTACTGGTGGATTCATAAGTTTAAGATGAATCCCTTTTCTTTTTTATCACATTTCTGCAATTGTTCTCTCTACCTGTTCTACTTCATCTTCCAGGCCTCTGCAGCATGTGCACCCTCCTGGCACTGTTCTGCTGCAGAGCAGGTCTGCCTCATGTGAGTAAAGACTGCTGTTTATTTATGCAAAATCCATAACATATAAGTGACAGACCTCTGTTGTGAAGAACCTCAGATTTTAAAAGGCAAGAGCAGTAAGATGTGGAAGAAAAAATGATGTGTAGTTTTGGTGTGGTTTATAGGAACCGTGGGTTCATTAAAGCTTAATGACAAAAATTAGTAAAAGGAAATTGCCAGATTGAGGAAAGACTGTCAGTGACTTCATGGAGAATGCCTGGAGGAAGAAGGTCAGCAGTGATAAGGAGGAAATGTGTTGTAAATGTTAATTTGAGAATTAGAGAAGGGTGGAAACTTGACACAGAAGAGAAGCTTATTTGTGAAGGAGCTAAAATTTGAGTGGATGAATTGTGAAGTTCCAGGAAGGGAGGAATAAAGTTGACTTGACTGATCATAGTTGAGAATGAATATAGGTGTGCAGAGGGAGGCAGCTTTGTGGTTTTAGGACTTTTTTGAGTTCATTTCCTGAAGAACTGAGGTTCATCTGATCACAGTCTCCTTAACTCAGCTTTAGGGGGTCTCAAAGATGGCCACTTCCTATAAGTTCTGCAGAGATGGCCCCCTGTACAAAGGGAGGAGTGCTTCATTGAGTCATCAGTGCTTCATTGAGTCATCAGTGCTTATCTTTTTAGGTGCTGTGGAGTCCATACAGCAAAGAGGTGTTAGCAGCATGTCAGCACTGTGCAAAGTTTTGGTAACCTTTCACACCTTATCGGACAGTGACAGGTTCAGGCAGAAGAGAGAAATCAATAGAAAATCAGCTTCATTAATTCAGTTACTTGTTTAAGTCCACAATATTATTATCAGGTATTTTTGAGGCAGTATCCAG